ATTTCTTAAGACAAGTACCTCAGACCTTTTTTCCTTCTGAAATATCTCTGATGGCAAAGCAAAAGATAAGCATGTGCCTGCTGATTCTGGGGTATAGTCTGTAACAGCTCAGTGCAAGCATGAAAACATTTTGGAAGATCCTAGAAATATGTTAAATTTTGCATTCAATTACATATTTTGCTGCAGTATCTTTAAAAATATTCTGAATTATTAGCTATAGCATGAAATTGACAGTCTAGAAAAATAAACTATAACTTCATTAAGACCCTCCCTGAACACTATTCATATACTCCTAGGATTATACCTCTGAAAAGCATGGTGTTCCTCTATCTTTGATTGCACTGAAACCACGTGGCCTAAAAGCAGCTGCAGTGTTTCCCAGTCTTGATCTTGGCCCACATCTACTCACTGTTGTGTATTTCAGAGGCTCAGTATACTCTAAGAGAACAAATTATTACTGACTGATATACTATCAGTTGTAAAGGTTTGTCTTCCATCCTAGGATTTTTTTTTTTTCCTGAGTCAGAGTCTCACTCTGTTGCCTGAGCTAGAGTGCCATGGCATCAACCTAAGCTCACAGCAACCTCAAACTTCTGGGCTCAAGCAATCCTCCTGCCTCAGCCTCTCATAGTAGTAGTTAAACTTTATGGTTAGGAGTTAAGGCTCTGGAGTTACATCCTGCCTAGATTTAAATGAGCCCCACCATTCACAGCTGAAGATTAATGATGAGTAGTATAGATAAGTCTATATCCTCATGAAGCTTACAGACCAGAATCACCAGATTATCTGCTTAAGAACTGAAACACTAATTTATATTTATTTAAAAATTTATCTTGGCTGGGCGTGGTGACTCATACCTGTAATCCTAGCACTCTGGGAGGCCAAGGCAGGAGGATTGCTTGAGCTCAGGAGTTCGAGACCAGCCTGAGCAATATCGAGAATCCATCTCTACTAAAAATAGAAATTAGCTGGACAACTAAAAATATATAGAAAAAGTAGCCGTCCATGGTCGCACATGCCTGTAGTCCCAGCTACTCAGGAGGCTGAGGCAGTAGGATTGCTTGAGCCCAGGAGTTTGAGGTTGCTGTGAGTTAGGCTGACGCCATGGCACTCTAGCCTGGGCCACAGAAAGAGACTCTGTCTCTTAAAATAAATAAATAAATAAATAAATAAATAAATAAATAAATAAATAAATAAATAAATAAATAAATAAATAAATATCTGCCTACCAAGTACTTCTTCTTGAACACCCACTGTGTGCGAGACACTAATCTATTTGCTAGCAAAAGAACAGAACAGAACAGTACATGCTATATAATTCCTTTTATGTAAATCCAGAAGCAGGCAAAACTAATTTATAGCAATAGGAATCAGTTATTGTGACAGTGGGGGAGCGGCTGGAAAAGGGGATTAGCAAACTTTCTATGAAGCTAGAAATGACCAATGTCTTGTTTTGGGTGCAAGTCACAGGGGTGAATACAACTGTCATAACTTAAGACATTTTAACTAATCATATTTTAATTATATTTCAATTTTAAAAAGGGAGTTAAAAAAAATCATTCCTATTTGATCTTGGAAAGAAAGGGTAGGAACTGACAGAGTGCCTGCTGAAGAATGCATTTATGCTTCACCAATGGGAGTGACTGTAAAGCTATACATCTACAGAAATATCCAGAGTCTAAGTACAATTATATCTTCTCTTCCCATAACATTTTAGTAATATACTCATCCAGTGTCCCCTGCCCAATTCTCACATATATCAGTTTCCCTAGTTTTGTGAAAAACCAAAGAATATTCCACAGCCAAAACTGAGCCTTTTAAAAGCATATTTAAGCACACCAAGTGGTGAAAAGGAAATATAAATTTTTATATAAACCAGAATCCCAAGTGGGACACCAAGGTCTAATTTTTCTGTCTTCTAAAAATATATGCTGATACCCTGTCTAAAAAATCCTCTCCACCATCCACCTTTGCCCTCCCTCTTTCCCTAATTAGCTGACTCCTACTAATCTTTCACCTCTCAAATTAAAATTTTTTCTCAGAAATTTTTCTCATTTTCTATTATTGTAATCCCAACCCCCCCCCACACACACACAATTATAGCCATGCACTGATTAACCATGGGGATGAATTCTGAGAAACGTGTCCTTAGGCAATTTCGTCACTGTGTGAAAATCAGGGTATACTTATACAAACCTAGATGGCAACAGCCTACCACACACGTAGGCTATATGGTACATAGCCAATTGCTCCTAGGCTACAAATCTGTACATCATGTTACTGTACTGACTACTGCAGGCAAATGTTACACAATGCTATGTATTTGAGCATCTAAACATAACCTAAACATAGAAAAGGTGCAACAAAAATACAGTATTATAATATTATGGGGTATCACCATCATGTATGTTGTCCACTGTTGCCCAAAATGTTGTTATGAGATGCATGACTGTACAGACACACAGAGAACAATGTTTTTCAGAGCTCTTATCTATTTCCTCATGTGATTAATGTCCCTGTTTCTCCTGTTAAGTGTCATGTGAGTCCGAACAGAGTCTGCTTTGCATATTACTGTATCCCTGCATAGTGCTTGGTAGCTAGTATAGATGCTCACAAAACGTCTGGCTCAATGAATAAATTAAAAACGCAATTCAACCAAGCCATCTAAACAAAGATTGTCCCCAAAGCAAACAAGGATTTCTCCTAGTTTGAAAAATCCACTAAAAGCCAATATACCTTTAGTTGCCAGAGAACATTTTAGGTTAGTATCTATGAGTCACTGAGTATCTACTTCCTTGTCAGTCTGGCTCTCAGAATACAGGATTGTCCTCTATGTTTTTAGCTTCTATCCTTTTTTTTTTTTTTTTTTTTTTTGAGACAGAGTCTAGCTTTGTTGCCCAGGCTAGAGTAAGTGCCGGGGCGTCAGCCTAGCTCACAGCAACCTCAAATTCCTGGGCTCAAGCGATCCTTCTGCCTTAGCCTCCCAAGTAGCTGGGACTACAGGCATGCGCCACCATGCCTGGCTAATTTTTTCTATATATATTAGTTGGCCAATTAATTTCTTTCTATTTATAGTAGAGACAGTATCTCGCTCTTGCTCAGGCTGGTTTCGAACTCCTGACCTTGAGCAATCCGCCCGCCTCAGCCTCCCAGAGTGCTAGGATTACAGGCATGAGCCACCGCGCCTGGCCTTAGCTTCTATCCTTATTCCTCTACCTACCAGTCCTTTCTTGGTTGGGCACATTAATTAGTGCTCCCTTTAATCTCTTTTGTGTATTTCTTGCTTCCCCGTAGTTTCTAAGATATTGAAGCTAAAGAAATTAAGCAATAATGTTCACAAACCAAGATAGTATTTAATGGCAACATTAGCTGTAGAAACATAACTGCTCAGGGATGGGGATTTCAGATCAGAATGTAAACATATAGTGACTAAAAAGTTCAAAATAGTTCCTCCAACATTTAGTAAACAGAATGCTGACACAGAATGAATAAAATACCAAAAGAACAGATACAATAGGCAGGTTAGAGACAAAAAACAGCATCATGAAAGAAGACATCTAGCATTTTGCAAAACACACTAAATGAAGTAAAACATCTACAGAAATATTATACTAACCAGATAAAGACTACTCTACCAAATGCCCAAGGTAAATACAAGACCAGGCCTTTGCGCAAAATTGGAACAATTTTCTACAATACCTTGAAGCAATTTAAAGAGACTGTAAAACACCAGTCTATGCTTTCTTGAAAAGGGTGGAGCTCAGAAAAACCTAGATGATGATGCTATGGCAATCACATACTTCAGGCTTCTGAAAGCAGTAACAATGTAACTGAACTTTCAGAACTGATTCTCAGAGAAATCAGAAAATTCATGAGATGGAAAAAGAGGGTCCAGAAGTCAGTCTTTCTAAAACAATCCTCCCCTATTAACACACTGACTGTCACACCAGAAAAAAAAATTTTTTTCCCTTGGGGTCGTGGTGTTTTATTACAAAAACAGAATAAAAACTTCAAAAACAAAATGATCCCTTCGAATTTAATGAAAAATTTGTTATTTTTTATTGTTTTCTGTGCATGAGATATATGCAACTTGAAAAAATAGTTCACATGGCTCCCAAGGTAAAGAGATGGGTGAGTTAAGTATGCTTCACAAGGCCCCATGCTCAAAACTAGAGTGAGTTAAATACAACTCACATGGCAGTTAATGTTAAAACACTACTACTACTTTTATCACTGGCAATGTATCATAATCATCATTGTAGGAAGTCATTTCAAGATGAACTATAAACAGCAATGTCCTTAAAAATAAGATGCTCAACCTTACTCACAAAGCAAATGCTAATGAAAACTATACTGAGAATTTACCTACAGCAAAAATCCAAAGATCACATACAATACTGTATGGGTAAAGTTGTGAGGACACAGACATTCTCCTAATTGGTACTATTCTACAATGGTGGAAAGACTACAAAAACCGTATCACCATGTACAAAGCAATTTGGCAATATCTAGCAAAATTAAAAATACATTTTACCCTTTAACTCAGCAATCCCATTTCTGGGAATGTATCCTACAGATTCCAGCACATATACAAAACAACTTAGGTATATTATCGCTGCTGCACAGTTAGAGATCAGTAAAGAGTGGATACACAGTTCACCAATAACCACCTAGTTAAATATATTACAGTACACCAACACAATGGAATACAACACAGTGGTGAAAAAGAATGAGACAACACTACTGAAATGGAAAGATATATTAAGTGAAAAAAGCAAGTTGCAAAACAAGGTATTTTATATGCTATCGTTGCATGTAAGAAAGGGATAAAATTAGAAAAATTATTAATTCCTGCTTTTATTTTTCTAAAGAAACACTGAAAGAATACATAATAAAAAAGGTTACAAGAGGACAGTGTCTGGGTAGATGGGGCAAGGGTAGAAGACCTCTTTGCAGGCTTTTTAAATTGAAAAACAATTACTAAATTTTTAAAAAGGTACCTGAGATATTGTGGAATGTTATTTGGTCCTCGACACTGTTTCCTGGCATAGAACTCCTAAAATCCTCAGAGTTGTCTTTTTGTATGCTAATGAGTTGATTGATGTCTGGTGGCCTCAAGGAAGCTTCAGGATGGGGGCTGGTCACCAGAAAGAACAAAGCTCAATTAGACAGTTGGGACTTTTAGCCTCACTCCCCCAACCTTTAGGGAAAGGAGAGGGGTTGAAGTTGATCACCAATGGCCAATGGTTTAATCAATCATGCCTACATAATTAAGCCTCTATAAAACCCAAACAGACTGGGTTTGTAGAGCTTCCTGATAGCTGAACACCTGGAGGTTCCTGGAGGGTGGCATGTGTGTGCCCAAGGAGAATATGGAAGTTCCACGCCCTTCCCCCATACCTCACCCTATGCATTTCTCATTTCTATCCTTTGTTAATAACCTTTATAATAAACTGTTAAGCATAAGTGTTTCCCTGAGTTCTGTCAGCTGCTCTAGCAAATTACTGAACCCAAAGAGGGAGTCACAGGAACTTCAACTTGAAGCTGATAGGCCAAAAGTTCTGAAAGCTCAGACCTGCAACTAGTGTGTGAAGTAGGGGGCATTCCTGGGGACTGAGCCCACAACCTCTAGGCTATCTCTAGGTAGATAATGTCAGAATAGAATTAGAGCACACCCAGCTAGTGTTCGCTGCTGAAGTGACTGATTGCTTGTTGGTGGGGGAACCCTCCCACACACATTTGGTCACAAAAGTCTTCGATGTTGATGATTGTTGTTGTGTAGCATGAGAATGGAGGAAAAACAGTTCTTGTTTTTCCACAGTATCACTGTCAAAAACATTTACAAACAAAAAAATTGGACTGCATTCATCATTACTAATTTAAGATATGACATTCTCTTAACTTACTGTCCCTGTTTCATTTTAGTGAATTTGCGGGGGGAGTATGTATACTTAAGAGAATTTACATCAGTTCCCCCGATATCTGTTTTTCTAATAGTCTTAAATTCCTCAAACATGAATCTTCACACCACAAAGGTTTTGAGCAAGAATTACAGTACATAAAAAATATCCACTTCCTGTAAGTTAGAAACTAGGATATTCATAAGATTTTTTTTTAATTTCAGCCAATCTTGAAAGTGTTATCCAACTCAATTTGCAGAAAATGAACAAGAACCCAGAAATACTGTTCAAGCTACTTAAGTTTTTGCTTAGTCTCACCAAAATGCAAATTGTTTCCACCTCCATAGCCAGTTGTCCCAGACATACTCTTTTATACTCAGGCTATTGTCACATATTTACAATGCGCATTTCACTTTAATTATTTCTACTTTTGGTTTTCACACAAAACTGTGCTATTCAGGACTCAAACACGTTAAGAAATGTTTAGTTGTTCATCAACTAGGAACAAAGCTTCAGCTAAACTGTAACTACAGACTCTAAAATGTAGAGTTCAATAAAGACAATCAATCACAAAACAACATCACATTATTATGGGAAGAAAAAATTTAAAAGATATCTACTGGGAAAATTCGTGGTCAGCATTTTATTTCAAAAGGGTAGAGACTAGGCGGAGCATGGTGGCTCACGCCTATAATCCTAGCACTCTGGAAAGCCGAGGAAGGAGGATCACTCAAGGTCAGGAGTTCAAAACCAGGCTGAGCAAGAGCAAGACCCCATCTCTACTAAAAATAGAAAGAAATTAATTGGCCAACTAAAAATATATAGAAAAAATTAGCTGGACATGGTGATGCATGCCTGTAGTCCCAGCTACTCGGAGGCTGAGGCAGGAGGATTGCTTGAGCCCAGGAGTTTGAGGTTGCTGTGAGCTAGGCTGATGCCACGGCACTCTGGCCAGGGCAAGAGTGAGACTCTGTCTCAAAAAAAAAAAAAAGAGTAGACTAAATAAAAAATTAAATTTTAGTATGTAGCAAATACGGTATTAGCTTCCTAGGACTATGTAACCTATTACCGCAAACTGAGTAGCTGACTAAAAATAACAGAAATGCACTCTCTTCCAATTTGGGAAGCTTGAAGTCAGAAATCAAGGTAATGGCCAGGGCCATGCTCCCTACAAAGGCTCTAGGGAAGAATCTTTACTTACCTCTTCCTAGTCTCTAGTGGTTGCCAGCAATCCTCAGCATTACTTGGCTTGTGGCAGTGTATCTTTAATCTCTGACATCATCTTCCCTCTGTGTCTGTATCCAAATTTCCCACTTCTTATAAGATACTTGTTATTGGATTTGGGGCCACCCTACTCCAGTATAACTTCATCTTAATTATATTAAAGACCCTATATAGGCCGGGCGCAGTGGCTAATGCCTGTAATCCTAGCACTCTGGGAGGCTGAGGCCGGCATTTGAGCTCAGGAGTTCGAGACTGGCCTGAGCACGACCAAGACCCTGTCTATACTATAAATAGAAAGAAATTACTTGGACAGCTAAAAATATATAGAAAAAATTAGCTGGGCATGGTGGCGCATGCCTGTAGTCCCAGCTACTTGGGAGGCTGAGGCAGTAAGATTGCTTGAGCCCAGAAGTTTGAGGTTGCAGTGAGCTAGGCTGATGCCACGGCACTCTAGCCCAGGCAACAAAGTGAGACTCTGACTCACACACACAAAATAAAGTACCCCCAAATTGTATCTGAAAATGTACAGTTCCTTTTTCTCATATTAATTGTGTTTTCCTAGTAACTTGTGTCACAATTAATAGAACACTACCTCTTACTCAATTTTACTCGTTTACTTTGTAATATTTTAAAGTTCTGTTTTCTACCTTTCTACAAATATTTTCTGAGCAATCACTATGTGCCAATCACTTTGCCAAGTACTTGAAATACAATTAAAAACATAATATGGTTGCTGACTTCAAGGGTCTTAAACACCAGAAGAGAGAGTCAAGAGAAAGAAAGGGGAGGTAAGAAACATGTAAAAAAGAGTGTGCTATATTTTGTGGTTAGAGGACTTGAGCGTTTAGGGAGTGGAGACTGGACAGTACATATAGACAGAGGTAAGACTAAAGCAGGCTGGAATCAGGTATCTTGGAGGGTCCTGCATGCTGATTAAAATAACCTTATTCAAATGCTTGTGGTTTTCTAACCACTGTGCCCAAGAATGACTTGAGACATTTGTTAAAAACAGATTCCCATGCCTCACCAAGATCTAGGGTAGAGCCCCAAATTTGGATTTTTTACAAATATATCAGTGGTATTGTTCAAGTGGTACATTGAAACAGTGCTTTAGGTGGGTATTTTTCTAAAATTTTCCTAATAGTCCTAGGGATAAGAGGGAGGATGTTGGGGAATATTCACTTTCAAAACAGCCTCGATTTTCATTGTTCTACAAGTGACAAGATCACCAGCTGAAAGAGTAGGAGTTAATCATAGCTGCTAAAGAACCACTGTAGTAAACTGCAGGGAACTACCTGGAATATACAAAAGAATTCAGCTGAGTTTGGACACCATAAATCTGTAATAGCAACCACATTGCTGTTTATCTACCTGTAAAATTAAAATAACATCTACCTAGTAAGATTATTATGAAGATTAAATTACATGTAATAACAGATGAAAAACATGGGGAAATGGCATACTAGAACTGAAGACTTCAACATATTGAAGTAACACAGAGGTACAAAGGGTGGCTTTGGGAATGCATGTCTTTTCCTTTTATTTCAATAAAACACTATTTAAATTCTTCAATTGACTTAAATCATGTTTGTGGGTTGACCTGGTATCATAATCAATAATTACAACACTGTCTCTTTGTCTAAAATGGTTTGTGAAATGGAAATAACCAAAATTAAAATGAACTCTGCAACACCCAAATGTGTCCCATATGTATACATATATACAGATGCACACACCTATATAACTATATTAGTATCTTAGTATTCGTATGTAACTAAAGAATTCACTAAAAAATAAGAGAATGCCTTGATGTGGTGAGTCTATTTTTTCTGCTTACTAAATTCAGTAAATTCTTCCCACGTGTTTCCTACTATTCTTTACTGACACATTATTATCCCAAGCAAATAAACCTTCCCTATTTCTATAAAGGCCAGGGAATTTGTGGTTTTTTCACGCTGTGAACCTGTAATAACCTATTTCTTTTCTGTCCCCCTTACAGAGGTATAATCCTTCTAGGAAAAAAAGTGTTAAAAACACGTTAGTCAAAACTTTTCAGCCAGGCGTGGTGGCTCACACCTGTAATCCTAGCACTCTAGGAGCCCAAGGCGGGAGGATTGCTTGAGGCCAGGAGTTCGAGACTAGCCTGAACAAAAGTGAGACCCCATCTCTACTCAAAATAGAAAGAAATTAATTGGCCAACTAAAAATGCATAGAAAAAATTAGCCAGACATGGTAGTGCGTGCCTGTAGTCTCAGCTACTAAGGAGGCTGAGGCAGGATTGTTTGAGCCCAGGAGTTTGAGGTTGCAGTGAGCTATGCTGACGCCACGGCACTCTAGACAGGGAAACAGAGTGAGACTCTGTCTTAAAAAAAAAACACCAAAACTTTTCGTTGCAAGTGATAAAAACCCAACATAATGGGCTTCAATAAAAAGTGCAGTTATTGGATCAAGGTGGTTTTTTAGAGCTCCCTTCATGCTGGATCTGAGCACACAGAAATATTTCTTTTCTCATCTATCATTCTGCCTGTGTCACATAGAGGCAATATAGCTTCACTCACTGGCAAGCTTTCCCCACATGGTGGCTGCTTCCTGCCTATAGGCTATTAGCCTAACTACCCCAGAGAAAAGAAATCTCTTTCCCAAGAACTCCACCACCCAAAGTCTTAGAGCTGATCCCTGAACCACTCACACACAGTAGTGACCAATGGCTAGTCTTAGGAGTAAGTCAGCCTCATCCCAATCATATGGGATTCAAGAATGCTCCCTAAAGGACAATCAAGATGCTACTAACACAAGGAGGGAAAATATCCTGGGAAGGTAAAAATGATATTCAGTACAGAAAACATGATAAAACACATGCAATTTTTCCCCAAAATAAGGGGAACAAAATTAAGGGGGAAAATTTAGACTTGTTAGAAAGTCCTGGTTTCAAATCAACAGTTCTATTACATTTGTGAATTATTTAATTATACTAGCCTCTGTTCCTTTATAAACAAAAAAGGGTATCATGCTCTATGTAGATTAAATGAGAAAAATGTCTGTTTTGCATATATTAGGTGCTTGATGAACCACCTATTGTCATGAACATGATGAAAACTGATGCTATCTGATGTAGAATGTAAATGGCCCTGATTCTTCATCCCTCCACATATCTAGGCCCTTTGCCAATCAGGCAAGGAAAATGCAGCCTTCTGATTTCAAGACTGTTCTTTTTTAAAGAACAAAGGAGGATAAGAAAAGTGTCACCTTTCTCTGCTGCATCCTTTCAATAGAAGAATTTATTTTTGTAAAATTTGGATTCAAAGGCCGCACTTAAGGACCTAGAAGGCCACATGTGGCCTTAAGGCTGCAGGTTCCCCACTATGTCTGCTTACTTTGTGCACTTTTATCATACCGTAACAGGCCCAAGCTAACCCGCTGAAGATGAAAACCACGGAACAGAGCGTAGATGTCCCAGTTACCCCTACTTAGGTCAATGCACTGCAGTCAACTCAGCTGACATAGAGCAAGTCCAGCCAAAATCAGAAGAGCTGCCTAGCCAACACACAGCTGACTACATGAGCAAGCTCAGCCTGGATCAGCTGAACCCCAGACTCCAGAGTTCAATAAATGTTTCCAGTTATATGTCACTAAGGTTTTGTGACTGTTTCATATACAGCATTTTTGTGACAACATGTAACTGAAACATCATCTTACAATGTTAGGTTGATAAAAGAAAGTATCATTTTTATTCTTCCTTTTATGATGTCAAAAAGTGACAGATTAAAAAAAAGCTTATTCCTATTACCATTACAAATTTACTATCCAAACATATTTTTTAAATTGTTAGAAATGGAAAAACTAATGTTTAACTTCAATACAGTTTGTATGTTTTATTTTTTTTTTTTTTTGCATATGTACCTGAAGGGCAAGTTTGTATGTTTTAAATTTGAAGTTCATGAATAGACAAAAACAAGAAGAGACAAAACTATATTTTCAAAATAAAATTGTTTTCTGGAAGTAATATAAACAATGATGTAAATACAGCCAAAATATTCACTAAAAAAGACTTTACTGAACATCTTTCATTATGGAATTCTGTCTCTAGCTAATTTCATTCTCTTAATTATCACCACCAATGTTTATATACTTCTGAAGTCATCCTTATCTCCATGGGCTTCTGAAGAAGTCATTTTCCCCAGAATAAAATAGACATACAAGTTGAGTATTCTTTATCAGAAATGCTTGGAACCAGAAGTATTTCAATGTTTAATTTTTTTCAGATTTTGTACATATGCATATGCATAATGAAATACTTTCACTTATGTTTCATATACACCTTGTACACACAGCCTGAAGGTAACTTTATGTAGTTTTAAAATTTTTGTGCATGAAACAGTTTTTGTACACTGAAGCATCAGAAAACAAAGGTGTCACTATCTTAGCCACTCATGTGGGTAATCTGTGGTTGTTTGCCATCAGCATCATTCCTGACTCTAAATTTATATGCC